GGAGGAAGCAGCTCTTCACAGCTGGGAGCAGGAAGGGGGATGTGCAAGTGGGACTGCGCCTTTGCAGCCACAAAAATCCATTCTATTGCCTCAGCTGCATGCAAATCCTTGGTGAGGTGCATCTGAAGCCATCACCACAGCCTGCGTTCCCTCGGTTTGCACTGCTTCTCTTGGTGACTTGTAGTACACTTGATGAAGATTTATCCCCTTTGTAAAGGACTACGTACACACACAAACCTGAGTATTGTCTTTGTGCCTTTTGTTCCATATTTATAAGTATATAAACAGCCATTATTTTTTTTATCCTTCAATTTTTAAACACTCATGACTGTAGCATCACCTGAGAAGGCAGAGTATTAAAAACTGCATCTCTGACTTCTTCCTAGGATAAGTAGAGTTAGACCGGAGCCGGAATTTCTTCCAAAAGGTCAGGGTAGAATTGATTGACCATTCAAGAAATTATTTTCTGTCCTGTAGTAACTGATTCTGTGAGGTCTCTGCTGTTTAGTGTCTCAGCATGCACTCACATACTCTGTACCTCCTCTTTCTGCTGTCTGCTGCTTTGGACTTTGGACAAGCCGGAGGGTTCTTTGAGGTAGGTAGATTCAATGGGTTCAAGCATGGCCTCAATGGACATGTGTATCAGTGGCGAAATACATCCAACCCATGTGTCTTAAGTGTGATTTTTCTTATTATCCAGTGGTTAGGATTTAAAATGGAAATCTAGAGATAACTATAGACCTCGAGTCAGCTCACCTATTTGGAAAAGCAGATTTGTTTTTCCATAAATGCAGCAATTGTCTTCCTGTGAAGGGCTACAGTATTAAATGTATACCAAACTTAATGGCTTTCTCTCATCTGTTTAGAGCTTGAACCAGAAGTAAAATCTCCAGCATCTGATAAAAACAGCAGCAAGGCTATCTGTAAGTAATTCTGTGTACAACTTCGGGTGTAAAAAACAAAAAACCTGTGATATTCTTTCTGTTTCCACAGCTTTCCCTATGAAAACACTTCTTGGGTAGTCTGTTCTATACCCAGCGTTTAATGGGGGCTTTTTTGTAATTATTTTAACTGGGGATATATACTAGTGAAGAGAAGAAAAAAAAAAAAACTATTCCAAGTCTCCTAACGGCTTTTTTTTTTATCACGTCTTGGTGGGGCTCTGGTTTTTGTACATGACTATGATCTATTTTCTTGACTTCAGGACCTGTCTGGTTTGCTGTTTTAACGTGTCAGTATTGAATGAATAGAATGAGATAGTTTCTTCTTACTCCTCTCCTAGCCAGAAGTATCATTGACTGACTACACTCAACCTCTGTAGTACCCAAAATGTAAACATTTTTGCCAAAATGCTTTTGGAAAGCAGTGGAGCGCATTGCTCAGTTTTCTCTTTACCACCTACTGTCTCTTCCAGGGCAATGGTTCTCCACAATGTGTGACTTTTAAAATTGGGGCTGGCTAGGACTGCTGCGTTGTCCTGCCTCCCACCCCTCTGCCTGTGATGCTGCTTAGCACCAGCTGAAGGCCAGCACAGCAGACAGCCCTCTTCTGCCAAGGTGCAACTGCAGAATTTTGCCTTAGAACCCAGTGCAGTTGAGATTCTTTTGAGAAGGAGGATTAACTGCTCTGTTAATGTTGCTTTGTTAAGATTCTGGCTGGAGAGCAGCTTGGTGGGAAGGGACCTTGGGGGTCCTGGTGGCCAGGAGGCTCAATAGGAGTAAGCAGGGTGCTGCTGCAGCCAAGAAGGCCAACAGGGTGCTGGGGGGCACCAAGGGCATCACCAGCAGGGATAAAGGAGTCATCATCCCACTCTGCTCAGCGCTGGCCAGGCCACCCCTGGAATCCTGTATACAGTTCTGATCCCTGCTGTACAAAAAAGCTGTGGGCAGGCTGGAGGGGGCCTAGAGCACCAAGGGGATCCAAGGGCTGCGAAGCCGCTGTCAGCTGTATGGGGATGAGCTGAGAGAGCTGTGTTTGTCCAGCCTGGAGCAAAGGAGGCTCCGAGGGGATCTCATCACCACGTACCAGTACTTAAGGCAGATGGAGACTCCCTTTTCACAAGGAGTCCCATGGAGAGGATGAGGGGGGATGGACACAAGTTGCTCTTGGGAAGATTCCCATTGGACATGAGAGGGAAACTTTTCCCCATGAGAACAGTCACCCATTGGAATAATCTCCCCAGGGGAGGGGTTGACTCTGCCACGTTGGACACTTTGAAGCTTTAGCTGGACAGGGTGCTGGGCCATCTTGTCTAGGCTGGGCTCCTGCCTAGAAAGGTTGGACCAGATGATGCTTGAGGTTCCTTCCAACCTGGGATTCTGTGATTCAGGTCAGGGGGCTGTAATCCACCCATCCTACCCTAAAATCATGAGGAGAAGCTGATGTTGTGTACTCTGGCACATTCGGTCAGTGAGTAAGTGCTACTCTCACGCTTGTACCTAGGTATTACTCTCATTTCATTTACTCTGTTGGTGTGTGTCCCGGTGTGCAGGTGAATCCTGCTCTTCTAGCCCCAACTGGTAAGTCCATGCCACTTGCACTGGGGCTCAGCTGAGCTGGAGGCCGGGTTTGTCCATGTGAACTCATGAAATGTCATTTGTTGTGGGGTTTGTTTGCAGGTTTTTTTTGTTTGGGTTTTTTCTTTTTTGAGAAAGGCTCAGTAATTTTTCACCTTTCTATTTCAGTTGATCCTGTAAACACAGCTCCCACCACTTCTACCCGCGTGTTTTATATCAGTGTAGGCGTGTGCTGTGCTGTTATATTCCTGGTGGCAATAATATTAGCTGTCCTGCATCTTCACAGCATGAAAAGGATAGAGTTGGATGACAGGTATGTATTGAAGCCTTTCAAGTGCGTTTTTTGGGACGCATTTACCCAGATTTGTGGGAGTTTCGGTCTCAAAATGAGTACTCTCTAGTAGCTTGCAATTTCTGCTCTTGATGTCAAAGCTGTAGCAATTACTACCTGTGCAGAGTTGTGGTAAGTGCTGTGCTGCAGGAAGGCAGCAGTTGCAGGTGCTCTGCTGTTTATGGGGTGGGGAGGGTCGTGGCTGTTGGGTTTTTGCCAGAGTAGTTGTCTGGAGGACACACAGTGGGGAAATTTTGACAGAATCTGATTACAGGGAGTGTCATGATTGAAGGAAAATTTGATAGATACCTGGGCACACTGAAAATACTTGTTTTTTACTGACTTTTCCAGGAGATTGAATTTCAGCTTTCTCCTTTCTCTATTCTGATCAATTTACCGGTATTCGCTTTGGCCTTAGGTTGAAGTCCGGGGATTACCACCGGTTGGTTATAAAGCTGAAAACATGGTGCTCTCCCAAATGTATTTTCAATCCAGAAAAACCAAACTTGCACATGCATGCAAAAAGGACTTGTAATGTGAACCCGAGGGCAATATGGTCAGCTGAGTGGGGATTAAACTCTGAGGCGGAAGGGAGGCTGGAAAAGCAGGTGGACTGAGGCACTGCTGAGCAAGCTGCGTTGGATGCCACTGTTCAGGAGCAGGCAGTTTTGAAACAGAATACTCTGGAAAACAGTCGGGCTCATGGGTGGTCACCCCCGTTGAAAGGATATCTTGAACTGTTTCTGTTCCTGCCTGCAGCCTCTCAGAGCAGCTCTCTCTTTTCATCTCCCCCTCTATCCATTCATCTCTTTCTTTCTGTTTTTCTTTCTGCCATTTACTCCACTGATGTCCCCAGACCACTTGGGTTTTGGGGGGTGTCAGCATAGTGAGTAACAGTGGTTTCTCAAGGCCTGATTATCTAACCAAATGACTCGTCAGCTTTCCTCAATTCACTTGTGCCTAATTGTCTACTGAGGGGTTTTAATCAATAGAAGGTGCTAAAGGATGTGCGGCTTGCTTTAATTCAGAAGGGAAAAGCATTAAATTTACAGTGTGTATGAATAGTGCCATCTACGAGTTTTTCAGACTCTCAGTCTAGCAGTGTGCTTATCAAATGTCCTTTCATCCATTCCATTGTACTTGATTTCTGTGGAGATAGAAGCTGAAAATTCATCTAACGTTAATACCCTGTGGCTTTGCAGGTATTAAAGAATTTACTTCAAATCCCTATATGGACTACTGATAATTTCTGTGAAGTTTGTGCAGATAGTGGGATTTAGCTCTTCAGAGCGCCGTGTGATGGCTTGGGGTTTTATTTTTTTGAGCCCAAAGGTGCCTGACCTGACAAAGCCTTGGATGGGCTCCGGGGTTAAGAGCTGTGATTAATTAGCATCATAGCAAAGGTGTAGCAGAGGCAAAATGGGCCTGAACATCCGGATCTATGAAGTTTTACTTTCAGAACGGGCAGTGTGCCCGGGAGCCACCAAAGAGACTGCGCGGTGATGTCTCAGTGCTTGGTTGAGAAGCTGGTTCAGTTATAATTTAGCCTCACTGTTGTGCGCTGGCATTAGATACAATCAGTGACTGCTTGACATAGCAACCAGTCAAGGAACTCGTGAGAGAAGAAATAACTTTTGATTTGGTTTTGAATAACAAGCTCAAAACCTCTCTGTAAAGCGGTTCTGAATCAAAGATGATAACGTCATTGGGGTTAACGACCTCCCAGGAGCAACAGAGGCTGAAAACCCCACTGCTGTCACTCTTAATTTCAAAAACCAGGACGAAATAAAAAATGAGGAAGGTTGTTAAATAGAAGCTGAAAGCAGGCAACTGAGTTTACAGGCATCACTTGGGCTATTTAAGAACGTATTGGAAGTTCAGAGCAAATGCTTGCATACCTCCTATCAAAGGCGCTTGAAAAACTGCCAAAGAAAGTTGGCATGGCTTAACGGCAGGATAACAGGGTTATTAAAAGCAAGAAGGCACTGTTCGAAAAGCTGACATAGCACACAAGTGAGAAAACTAAGAAAGCTCATAAACACAAACAAGTTCAACCTGAAAACCAGAATGAATCTGACAAAAAAAAAAAATGGTTTTCAAACTTGCAACCGGCAGAAAAAGAATAATTCCTTTTTCAAAATTGCCTGCCACAGGAAGGCAGCCAAAGAAATCTGTGGGGCTGGTGGGTGATCAAGTTACAAAAGGAGTTTCCAGGGAAGATAAAGCCATAGCAGGGAAATGGAATGTAAGTTCTGTATCTGTGTTTAATGCAGTGACCATGCCAGGGCGCTGGGGAACTCGCTGGAGAGTGGTTCACGCCGAAGCAGCTTGTAGGCACAATAGCACGAATGGTTAAAATAAGTAGTAATAAGTTGCCAGCACCAGAGAATATTCATTCAGAAACTAGAGGAAGTTGAAGTGGAGTAGCTAGGCCAACTGTAGCTTTTAACCTCGTGCTAAAAATGATGCTGGAACCCTACACCTGGAAGACAGTGACTAAGTATAAAAAAGGTTTCCAAGGAGAGATTGAGACCAGCTCTAAATCAGTAAGCCTGATGTTTATATTGTGGAAATTAGTGGATTCTGTTCTAAAGAAAATAATCGGGTGTGTCTCCCCTATGAGGAAAGGCTGAGGGAGCTGGGCTTGTTTAGCCTGGAGAAGAGAAGGCTGAGAGGGGATCTCATCAACACGTACAAATATCTGAAGGGTGGGTGTCACGAAGACGGAGCCAGACTCTTCTCAGTGGTGCCCAGCGCCAGGACAAGGGGCAATGGGCACAAACTGAAGTAGAAGAGGTTCCAGTTGAACATGTTTAAGTTTAAATAAATAAATAAATGGAGGATGTTTGTGTGTGTTTGGGCAGGAGATCAAAAAAGCTTCTTCCAGTCCTGCCATTTGAAGTAGTAACAGGTACTGCCTTTGCCTGTAAACTTTCTCACCTGTTTTTTCTATAAGGATAAGGCAGAAAACATCCTGCTATGGTTTACCTGTCTCTTGAATGCTACATGCAGCTATGGTCATAGAATAGAATCATAGAATGTTTAGGGTTGGAAGGGACCACTAGTGGTCATCTAGTCCAACCCCCCTGCAGTGAGCAGGGACACTGCTAACTAGATCAGGTTGCTCAGAGCCCCGTCCAACCTGGCCTTGAATGTTCCCAGGGATGGGGCCTCCACTACCTCTCTGGGCAACCTGTTCCAGTGTTTTACCACCCTCATTGTAAAAAATTTCTTCCTTACCTCTAGCCTGAACCTACCCTGTTCTAGTTTAAAACCATTTCCCCTTGTCCTAACACAGCTGGCCCTACTAAAAAGACGTTCCCCATCTTTCCTATAGGCCCCCTTTAGGTACTGGAAGGCCACAATCAGGTCTCCCCGTAGCCTTCTTTTCTCCAGACTGAACAAGCCCAACTCTCTCAGCCTGTCCTCATAGGAGAGGTGCTCCAGCCCCCGGATCATTTTTGTCTCATAGGAGAGGTGCTCCAGCCCTCGGATCATTTTTGTAGCCCTCCTCTGGACCTGTTCCAACAGTTCCGTGTCCTTGTGCTGAGGGCTCCAGAGCTGGACGCAGTACTCCAGGTGAGGTCTCACCAGAGCTGAGTAGAAGGGCAGAATCACCTCCCTCAACCTGCTGGCCGCGCTTCTCCTGATGCAGCCCAGAGTACGGTTGGCCTTCTGGGCTGCCAGCGCACATTGCAGGCTCATGTCTAGCTTTTCATCCATCAGTACCCATGTGCTTCATGATCTGTGCGCACACATAACACTACAGGGCCTGACCAAACACACACGTGTTCATACAAGCTAAATAATCAAAAAAAGTGGCTTGGGGAGTTTTCTACAGAGCTGAATAGAGCTCTTCACACAGAACTGATGCTGCCACCAGCAAAAAGCCCTCC